ATATTCAAGTTTTTGAGGGTTATCACAAACTGCTCATGATAAAATATTAAGATTGTGATAAGTATTATTGAGTGTCTTGATTAGTTCATTGCTTGTCATAATTTATTTTCTATAATGATCTTTCTATAATACTTTTTTTGTACAAGACTAAGAAACTAAGAATAGTTAAGATGTTTGTCTATCTTAATTCTCTAGTATTAGCAAGCTGGATAATTTATCTATAAAGTAATTTATTAAGAAATCTGATGAGTTTTCTGAATTTCTTGACTTCTCTCTCAAAACTTCTTAATAAGAAGATAATATTTTACAAGTAAAGTTATGCATTATACTAGTAATATTAAAAACTTTTTTTATTATTATAAAAGACTTAACAAACATATTATATTTATAATTAAATTTGATATAAATATAATAAAAAAAAAGATTGTATAGCATAATTTCTAAAAAAAATAAAATTATTATTATTTATTATTACTACTACAATCATTTCTAAGTATGAAAACTTTAAGAAAAATATTTAAGAAACTTATCTTTTTACTGATGTATAGATCACTTATTGTATTATTGATATTAATATTATATTATAGTAAAGTTAGATTGACCAAAATAAAAAAACATTTACAAAAACTTTATTTAACTAAAATGAAAGCTTGAAGACTTTAGCTTTCTTTTTAAAAAAATCTTCTTATCATCTGAAAAACTTGATTAAAAGATAGGCATATCATGTTTTATACCCTTGTTTTTTGATATTATAACTGTTTTCTTTAGAAACTTGCTTAATTAGAGGGTATCTTTTCATAAACTTTTCTTTTTAATTATAATAATGTTATTAAAATATATAAAAATAATTAATAAAAGCTTGTTTATATTTCAAAAAACCAATATGTTTTATGTAAGTCAATTACCTTCAGTATGGATTTGTACTATTCAAAATTTAGGATCAAATTGAGATAGATAAAATTTTTTAGAAAACTATGAAAGTAGAAGCTTTAAAAGAGTTAATATAGTTTAAAAGAGAGAAAATAAACCTTTTGACTATAACAAATTTCTATAAATCTTTCACTTTAAAGATTAAAAAGGTTTTTAGATACTTTATAATTAGTTCTTCTTTTTTTTGAAAACTTTCTTACCATTGGTATCAAGGATATTACTTATCTTTTTTTGATTACTGAAAGTCAAATTTTTGAATAAAGAGGTTTATAAAAAGAGAAAAAATATAGAAATTATTTTTAAGTTATATTTTAGGTTGATTTGATAAAGATATTAAGACTTTAGTAACAAAGAAATATAAAAACTTTTTTTAAATATATTTTTGTATATAGTTAAAAGATCAGTGAAAAAAACTTTACTTTAAATCTTTATCTTTTATTATATTTATATAAAAAATTATTATTATTATTATTTTAACCTATAATCATACCATAATAACATGTCTTTATTGAGAAATTAAAACAAAATCTATAATAGTTTAAAAACTTTTATAATATGACTAACTCATCTTTATATATAAATACTTTAAGTCAGATTTTAGAGACAATATTATACTTCTTTAATAGATTAGTTATAATCTCTATCTATTAGGATTATTATCAATAGTTTGTTACTATTGATAGATCTTCAAATCAATAAATTGTTAAGTTAAAAAGATAAAAAAGAAAAAATGATTAGGAAAGGGAACAATTTAAGATTTATCAAAAAAAGTTTAACAATAAAAATAATCTCTTTTTAAAAGGAATCTGTTTAAATATAATAGTCTTCTTGTTTTATTTAAACCTTAAAAGAAATCTGTTTAAATAGAATAGTCTTCTTGTTTTACTTAAACTTTAAAGAAATCTTTTTTTATTATCCGTAATATTAATGAATTAATTTAACTGATCTTTTATTTAAGCAAGTATTGAATTAGAATTTCTCAAAAAAAACATTTAAATCACAATTTTCTTCTATTAAAACTTTGTTGTTATTTGAGAAACTTAAATAAATAATAGGAGTCTGCAATTCATATTACTTATTACTTGATCTTTTGATATTATAAATGTTTTCATTAAATAACTTAGACTTTTGAGATAAATATTTTCAAAATATTCTTTTTAATTATTAATAACATTATTAAAATATATGGGTGTAATCAATAAAAGTTTGTTCATATTTCAAAAACTAATGCATTTCATATTAATCCATTATTTTTTATAAGGATTTGTATTATTCAAAATTTAGAGTCAAACTGAGATAAGTAAAATTTTTTTAGAAAACTATAAAAGTGAAAGTTATAAAAGGATCAAAATAGTTAAAAAGAGAAAAAATAAGCATTTTTACAACAGAAAACCTTTATAAACTTTTTGTTTTAAAGATTGAATAGATTTTAGGTACTTTATAGTTAGTTCTTTTTCCTTTGAAAACTTTCTTATCATTGATATTAAAGGTGTTACTTTATTTTTCTTAATTACTAAAAGTTAAGTTTTTGAGTAAAGAGATTTGTAAATAAAAAGAAAAGAGTAGAGATAACTCTTGAAGTTATATTTCAAGTTGTTTTAAGGAAAGTATTAAAACTTTATTAGTTAAAAAGTATAAAAACTTTTTGTGAATATCTTTTTTATATATGATCAAAGAATTATAAAAAGAAATTTATTTATAAAATGGTTTTATTTTTATTATTTTAGTTAAAAAAATTTTTATAGCAGTTTTTTTTTATTTTATTTGGATTTTATAAAACTAAATTTTTCAAATTGATATAATACAAAAATTTTTATTAAACAAAGATTTAATAAATAATATAGTTAAAAAATTAAATCATGATACATAAATTTTTTAAATAATTTAAAAAATATATATTTTAATAAAGAATTTTTTATTAAAAAGATTTATTACTTGAATAAATTGTATATATTATATATATTTAATTGATTAATAAATTTTAGTCTAGTTTAATAGCAAGTTATTAAAAATAAAAAGAAATCAAATATAAAATTTAAAAAAACTTTCTTTTAAAAAAAGTAATTGAAATAATTAAAAAAAAAAAATTTTTTTTTTTTTTGAAAAATTAAAAATAAATAAATTTGGGAACATATTATTGAAAAATTTTAAAAAATTTTAAATTATTCAATTGAATATATCAATTTATCAATTTTTTATATTTTTGAAATTATTAATTTAAATACATCCATTTATCAATTTTTATATTTTGAAATTATTAATATAAATATATCAATGTATCAATTTTTTGTGTTTTTTGAGAATTTTGGTATTAACTATAATTTATAATTTAGTATAATTAAAAAAGGTAAAATTCGAATTTAAAATTAAATTTTAATAAATTTTATAAACCATATTCTCAAAAATTTAACAAAAAGATAAATATAGATATATATTTAGATTAAAAAGAATAATTATGTTATTTATATTAAAAAGAATCATTATAGGAAAATTAAATTTATTCTCAATTATAATTTTAAAACTCAATAATAATAATTTTTAGAATTAATGGGAATTTGCTAGTTTTATAAAAATGATAATAATGCAATTAATGAATTTTTTAAAAAATTTGAAACCATAATTATGGTTGATAAATTTTTTATATTGTGATTTAATAAGAAAAAAATTTTTTTTTTAAATTAAAAATTCTTTATTTGATTTTTTATAATTGTAGATTATCGAAATGAGTTAACGTAAATATAGTTAAAAACTTGATTAAACTTTTTTAAAACTGAGATTCAATTTTATCACGATGTTGCCTTTGATAGATGTTTCTATACAGAATCTTTCAAAATATTTATAAATTAATAATCGGTTAATTTTTATTTGTATTTATCACTTTGAAAATTAACAACAAATTATTTGTTGCGACTCTTAATACCCTTAATTTATAAGAAATAGTTTAAAAAAAAAAAAAAAAAAACAAACAAACCAAAACATGCAATTTCTACAAAAATGTTATAGAAAAATATGAAGCAAAGCCAAAGTAGTTAGTTATTTATAATATTGAATCCGACTTACTTTTCTTTCAGGTAATTATATCTTACAAAATTCAATAAGATTGTGTGATTCGTCCGAGAAATATACTATACATTTAATACTTGGACCATACCAGGTATTCTAAAGTTTTTCGTGTAACCTTCGTGTGCCACGATGAAAAGTGTATAGGAACTTTTGGAACACCTGGTATATTGATACGTTAGTTGTATATTTAATATCCATGACTTTATTAGCCATCAAATATTAATTAATAATTTTATTGAAATCTAATACGCATCTAATTTCTTATTAATACAGTATGTACAGTTACATTGTTGGTTCAAATTATTTAAGTTAAATGGTATTAAATTTTCTTTTTTTTCTCTTTTTTTTTTTTAATTAGTATAAAATGAATAGGTAAATGATGTATAGAATACGGTAACTTATTGGAGGTTAACCAATATATCGTAATACATTTTTTTTTTACTTGTGTAAGTTTTGGTAAGTCTTGAGGAAAAAAAAAAAAGGAGAAATGACTAAATCGGGTGTTACCTTTTAGGTAATTGTGCGTAGTTATGCAAAGCATTGACATTAATGGATATAGCGGCAAATCACTCTAAAAGTTGCGAGTGGCTGGGCTTATAAATTCATTAGTCATTGGTGCTTATATGTTATTGGAAAGTGACCTCCCGGTGTGATAAATGTTGGTGATGGCTAACGTGCAATGGTTTGGCGGGTGATATATGTTAGTCACAAGTGTGGTTTCGAAAAAAAATAAAGAAAAAGAATGGATTGCATTTTCCGGGTTTAATGGGGACGGTATTCAATTTTAGGAAAGGTGTTTAAAATGTATTGCGTGGGCTGCACTTTTTTTTTTTTTAAAAAAAAAAAAAAAAAAAGAGTCCTTTGTGGAAAGTTCAAAATTGATAGCCATTTTGACATAATGTGTGGAAGGGTGGAGGTTTTCATTTCTACACTAAATGATGCTATTCATCCCGGATAAAGGAAGGTGATTGATTGTATTGTGTAGAAGGAAGATGCCATGCCTTCGTTCATTTCAACTTGCACTCTGGTGGTGCGATACGAAGTGCGTCGGGAGACTACGAGTAGCCATTCATATGTCAACACAACAACAATCGTTTAAGAAAAGTGTGAACAGTGATATTGTATAATACATGATTTTATTACAATTAAGAAATGGAACATCCTCTCGAGAACCACCATTGTCCCTTCAACTGGTTAATCCACGAGACAATCGTTTTTAATCTTTCCCTGACCGATTTTTCTTCCAGCAATTTATATTTTTCATTTTCATCTATTGGAATTACCGAAGCAATCCAAAAAGAAAAATCGGAGGGGTCATCCGGCATGTCTCCGTAGGTGGAGTTGAGACGCTGCAAGAGCCATGTAGCCGATCCATTTCTCAGTGAGTCGATGAAATCTCGGGATATACTGATTAATTCGGAGATCGTTGGTTCGTGTATGCGAGGATTGGCGGGATTAGCGTTGTTAATATCGGCTGCTCTTATGGCATCCCTCTCTTGCTCCAGTTCTTGCTCGGGATCAATATCATCTATCCTTTCGATTCTTCCTACAGTGTAACCGTCCCTCATTCCCCTTTCGACCAAACGGAATCTATACGTCCCAACTGTCTCCACCAATGATCGACCATCGTTTAAGAACTCGATTGACCGAATTTCCAACATCGTTCCATAGTCGGAATCTTGTTTTAGCATCATGCCAAACCGTCTCTGCCTCGATTCCATACATCTCCTGATCATCAATCTATACCTCGGTTCGTATATTTCTAAAAAACAAGGCATCTTTGGGAAGGTGAGGGAGGTGATGAATATTGGAACATCCTGCATGTCATCATAAAGTCTACTCTCGGCAGAATGCCGTCGGTCAGCATACAGGGTTGGATATAGGGAGGTTATGAAGGTTGCGATTGTCTTGTTGATCGGATTGCTAAAGAAGTAATCATAGCCACGAAGATGACGTCGACATAAAGGGCATTGGTCATTATGGTCCAGTGATCGCGTTAGACAGGGCCTACAGTAAGTGTGACCGCAAGGAGTAGTTATGGGATCGATGAATAGTTGGTAACAGACTTGGCATTCCAACTCCTGTTCTAGCAAATTCTTAAGGCGAATCAAATTAAGGTGTTGTGTGTTGCCGGAATTAGTTCCGGGATTATTACACGGTGAGACCGATTTCCCAGGGTAAAAACAAAATTCTTCGTCAGAAGAGCTCGGGCATTCATCATTAAAGTGTTGCTCCAAAAACTGGAACTCATCGCCCTCATACTGTGAATTCATTCGAACGCTACTTTGCGTGGCGCGAGGGATCAACTCTGGCATCTCCCTTCGACATATGTCGGTCAACTTTCTCACTGAAACATCTGGTTCGACGTCGGCACTATGCCACCGAGCACATCCTTGGATTGGACATCGAAACCTAAGATTTGTCATATTAGCCGGTAAGCATCCACGGCAAAATGTATTTCCACAGTGAAAGGTGACGGGATCCGAGAGTAATCTACCGCATAGCGGACAGTTAAGCAGTCGAAGGATGGTGTGAGCTTCTACCAGTGGGTCATAAATTTCGTTTTCCGCCGCAAACGAAAATTTCGACGAACTTTCATCCTCATCCGAATTCAACAACGAACCAATATCCATGTTTTATTTAGAATGGCTAATATGATGCACCTGAAAGAAGGGATTTCGTTGTTACCAAGAAGCTCTTGAGAGTGGATATTTATATCTCGATGGTAGGTATGATTATGTAAAGCTGCCTTCTTTTTTTTTTGGTGTATTTTTTTTTTTTTTGTATTTTTTTTTTTTTTGAAAGGGCAAATATGAACTGAGAAGTAATAAATTTTCAGAAACAGGAATATGTACGATGTGTGTGTGTGTGGTTGACAAATTGTTAAGGTATATATAGGGTTATATATATACATGCTGTACATAGATTTTTACCAGTTCAAACATATTGTATACACCAAACTTAAAGGCTGACATAATGGGTATTCTAAATTACGTAATCAAATGAGGCTAGATCAATTCATTGTAACCATCGGCGATGAAAAAAGAAAAGATGATTGATGTTATATACTCGATAGGTGGGCTTGTCGATCAATTAAATTGTTAATAGATTCTAGACTCTGGTACTACACGTTCGATGATTTGATTATACATCATGTGCATGCACACAACGATCTTCGCACACGGAAAATTTTGGGAAGTGGGTGAAGATAAACCCGGGATGGTGATCCTGTGGTAAAAAAGAAAAGAGAAGAATTCAGGTGAAAGGAAGAATAAAAAAATCGATCGAAACGCGTTCGTCACAGTTTACCTCGACGACGCTTAATACCTACCTATCTATCATCGAATTGCTCGTATGAAACATTTGATTCCGTAGTAACTTGACAAATGTCGACCAACTAACCGAATGCGCCGGCAAAGTGTGCAACTGTGATGATAAAAGATTTCTCATTCGTGGTATTCGTCAAAAGGCGAACTTACTGTACGAAAAGGGATCAAGTTGCTGTATGTATGTAGGTATGTATGTATGTATTGTATGAATGCATTTTTTTGATGATATCGAAATTGAATAGGGGTGACATAAATCGCGATTGACGCTAATGAGATTAGATAATTATTTTATGAAACACTATTGGATAAGCATTTTCAAACGTCACCTCCTGTAACATCGAAAAAATGTTGACTCCCCCGGTGCGTGCCGCGCGTACAAATTCATCACCTCAGTAACATGTACAGTATATATGGTCAATTGCTTCCATCCTTTTCGTGTTGTAATCGACATTTTGCATTTTCTTCAAATTTATTGGTCACAATGGAAGCCGAACCCCCGTGCTTGTCGACACCATCACAAATCACATAATCACACCGCATCGTCTATGCCCGGAAAGCTTAACCTGACCTGAATTTTAATTTACCTCTAAACTACGTTATATTGGATCAAACTAGGCCTAATGAAATAAGGCACTTGAATAATGTGAGTTATACGCATATGCCTAAGGATTTGTCAGATATACGCAAACCGTTGTCGGACGGCTTTAATTATGCATTTTATTGTGCGATCGTAAGCTGATCATTTTTCTCTAAAAAAGGAACTCATTGAGGTGCACGTAAAAGTCTAGAATCGGGAAAAATTTTAAAATACCTATTCTAGTACGCTTGTAAACAACTGACAAAATCGCTTAGGTAAGCACTCACATAATGCATTGTTTCTAGTTTGGAGATGCAACTTTGTGAATCATCATTAAAACACATATTGTTTTCCTTTTAACCTCGCTATATTAACGGCTGTTAAATTAGTCGGAGTTCAGAGTGTCTTCAATTGCCCTGTACCTTTACGGCTGCTCATTAATATCAATTTGACGCGAATATTTACCGTACGAATTCGTGACCCTTATTGTGCACGCCGTACATACCGCCTCGTCTTGTGCGCATATGGACCAATTTGGTTTACTGTATATTAAACAAACCAATACAACGACGAACAGTCCAACCGCGATTCCTTTTCACCTTATTTTATTCATCGTAATAAAATGCGGTGAAATGAAATTCTATTGCAAATTGAGGACGGCTATCACTGTTACTGTTATCTCTATCAAAACATTCATGCTGGTTTGAATAATCAATCATTTCATTATCGTCACATTGAAACAAGGGCGTTTACTCAATGTCGTAACTACAGGATGTCATGATCCTATCGACGGCGTTTTATTTATTTATTTATTATTTATTTATTTTTCATTAGGAAACCTTTTTTTACTCTACAGAGAAACCTTTTTCTTTCTTTTTTTATTCTTCTCGTTGCACGCGCATCATTCGATCCACCACACCAAATGACAAAAATCAGGTGAAATAAAGTTAGCATCATAACGGGACACTAGTGACCAGGCAAGTCACAAAACCAGTCTGGACCGGGCCTACGTGTACTGTACGTGAAAAAACTTTTATCTATCAAAGTTAATATTTTGCCCATTTGCAGTTGTCCCTGATTAATGAGGAGTCCATGATGTTACATTGCACAGTATTCCTTCCCATCCAGCAACTCTTGGAAACGGGATTCCATTAATATGGAAATCTCACCGAATCCTTTGAAGTTAGCACGGTTTCATTTCCTTAAGTATTGTATATATTGATCCTCCAGAGTACAGCGACGGGAAGAGAAAATGTATTGACTTCCAGATACAATAATGACCGAGACCTTGATGCGGCCATATTCTATCAATTGAATCATCTTAGGTCGCGTGAAATTACAGTAGCGCACGCGCTTGCATCACCTTATATAAGTGTGTGTGAAACAAGAGGTATGGTATGATAAAAGAGAATTTGATTCACAAATAAAAAAGTAAATCTCCAATAAGGAAACTCAATAGACTAACGTTTTTATCTTCGTCAAGTAATAAAGAAGAATGGTATGGTCCGTTGTTAGTAGATGCCAAATTCATTGCAGATAAACATTTGATTTTGCCCTCCGATTACTATTAATATCGTATCTTTGAGTATTTATACTAGATATTATGTTTTTCATTTACAGTATTTTCTTTCAACATGCATATTCCCTCTTTTTATTTTATTTTTTGAACATACTGCATACGCACATCGTATCTTTTGCGAGATTTATTTATTTATTCATTCTATTTTATTTTATTTTATTCTACGTATACGGTCTTCATTCGCACAAAATTGTGCTTTTATTAAACAGGATTTCTCACACATTTACAGTAGGCATCCTTTTTTCTTTTTCCTTTTTTTTATTTGGAGCAATCGAAATTCTATTTACACAAAATTTCAATTTTAAGATCGTGGAGCATTTACAACACACCAATGATATGAATTTCAAAAGATATTGTTCAAAATAAACCTCTTGACACTGCAAATAATTCATCACGTGCACGCAAAGACAGAACTTTGTCACTGCGACCCGAGAAGGGAAGAGTGAAGAAAGAGAAGAGGCGAATGCAGAAGGATGAATATTAATTTAAGTGGAAACGACGCAAAAAAAAAAAAAAAAAATGAATGAATGAATGAGGATGTGTATACTGTATGTGAGAACAAAAATACAAACAACGACAACAGATAAGCGCACCCGATACTCGCGAAATTGGTGCGACCAACTTGTTTCACGAAGGAAAAAGGAGAGAATACCATTCACGGTAAGCCTCCATGATGGGAAAGTTGCATATTTTATATAATGATCATTTCAAAACAGTGTTTGTACAAAAAATTTAATCATCCTCGTTCTATTGGAATGAATGTTATTGACGCAATAACAAAACAACAACACTTATAATAGTGATGCAGATAAGATCTTTTGACTCGCTCCGGACTACGTAATCAACATACTGTATATTTGCATGCGTATGTCATTGCATTGCGCGTTTATCCAAGTCACGTGAATATCGAATGCAAGAATTTGAAATTTAGCAAAGGGTGACATAGCGAATAAAAATTTTTTTTATCACAAAAATGATTACTATCTTTGATACGATTTCAAAAATGGTCTGGTGTTTCTATTTAATATGGGTGTGAAAACTTGGAGGGGCTTTTTTCTTTTATTAATTAATTTTACTATCAATTAAAAATAATATGCACATGTATTTTGCACATTAACAATTAACAATTAATGATGAATAAAAAGGTTATTTAGGAAATACCGTCGAATTCTAAAAATCGAAATTACTGTATGCAAATAGACGAGTTACGGTACATCCATTTACTTTTGATTAACACATTCATCAGAAATATTTTTATAAATATAATAAAATAAGCCTTTATGTCATGTCTTTTATCAAATGATATACTGTATATGTGCCTGCATATTATATACACTTTATTTAAGAAACCTTATAATTCAAATATTTAAAATTTTACTTTATTTATCACAGATTGTTATTAAAGTTATGATTTTTTATTTTTTATTTTGATATTAGTACATTTGATACTTTGAAATTAATAAAGTCACAAAACTCTTACTTTATAAATATATTATATTCAACTTATCTTCTTTTTTTAATTCTCTATTTGACTTAAGTGTTGTAATTCAATCAAAGTAATAAAGATAAGACCCAAAATTTTCATGAAAAAAAATGATTGAAAAAAGATTTATAATTAAAAACTTTTCTCCACTTCTTTATAATAGGACAAATATATTCAGAAAATAAGTGGTATCAAAAAAAATAATAAAATTTTGCTTTTTATGAAAATTAAATATATAGTCAAAATTTTTATTTACTTTAATTGGATCTTAAATTTTTAATTATATTAATTTATTACAATTTTATTTGATTTTATTTTTTTAATCCTCCATTAAATTAGTCATCTATACTTTATTAAATAATTTATAAGCCATATATATATTATTATTTGTTATTAAAGCTAAAGTTCTAACTAGCTCACTTGTCTTGGTTAATTTAATTTTAAGTAAAACTTTAAAACTATTAATATTATTGCCTATAAATTACTACTATAGATCACTTAACAAGTTCTAAATCAAATCACTTTATTCTATATTTATTCATATTATTAGAACCTTCTTTAAATTATTATTTTTTAATCTTTTTTTTTCTTATTCTATTACTTTGATTATTACAACTTTGGTTTTTTGACTAAGAAGTTCAATAAATTTTCTATCTAATTTCTTT